AGTCATTTGCTTACCTATAATCCAAACATTGGAAAATAATTATCCTGCCTCCTACAAATAATGAAATTGACCATTTTGTCTTGATCTTAGTAGTAGGGTTCCTACATTTCTATCACTGCCAGAGTTCAAACAATTATCTGTAGGGTTCAATATCAAATGGATAGTGAGACTGAAGGGACTCAGTGGCGAACTCATCCAGTTCCTGTACAAGCGCATCCAAACGATAGAATCGAAGGCGATCAACGAATGGTCAGTGGCAAAGCTACAGTGGCACTGCAACCATTTGGACATGTGAGTTTCTCCATTTTTAAATTTTGTTCTCTTTAAATGCTTTTGTGCATTTTCCAGTTTTGGATTTGAGGTAAATGTTCACAATTTAGTATGTCTTCCGAGTTCTTGCTCGAAACGCAGTCGGAGACAGTTCTCCAACAAGAGTAAAAGACGTATGCATTACTCCTCCAAAACAACCAGACAGGAACCCAGCCGGAGTTTGGGCTAAAGGCGCCAGTCCTGAAAACATCGTCGTCCATTGGCGTCCTATGGCTCGAGAGGAATGGAATGGGCAGAACTTCCACTATAAAATCAAGTACGTTTGAATATCTCTCAAAGATTATCCCGTCTATTTCAGCATTGAAAAACACCCCTTTTGGATACATAAGCCTTTTTTTGGACAAGCACCTTAATGCTTTTTCTTTCTAGAATATGATAGCTTCTCTATGTTAGTATTACATTTTTGAAGATATCTACTTTTAAACTGCAATTTGGGTAGTGAATGGCTGCATGCATAAGTTCGTCTTTTAAACACTTTATTTGATTCAAACATAGTCTGGTCTTTTTTTTTCAGCAAAGTCTTTTGTATTAGCACGGCTATTCAAAGCCTATACTCGTAAACAAACTTCTGTTGTCTCACGCACCCTCAATTTGGATTTTCTAGGTACCGACCCTCTGAGGGTGGGGGTGGTGATTGGAAAGAAGTACAAGTAAACGATCCATTTGCTGATCGTTACACGATAACTTTGGATGATGACAAAGACGCAAAGCCCTTCCAACCAT